AGGAAGGCCCTTTTCAAGCCTTCCGTTACGAAACGAATATGGCAATGTAAAAAAATTTTCCTATAACCCCGAATCTTATTACTCAACTACATGGACCGCACACGACTGTAGTTTTTAATAATTTTTTATCAAACTCAATTGATAAAATAAATAAGCCATTGAATAGTTGTGCTCTTTTAAATATTTGTTTCAGTGAGCAGTTGGGAAAATTCCCAAATATTACATAAATACCTTAAGCAGACAGAATTTTTGTTTAATGACTTTTAAGCTCTCTTAAGAAATTGCCTTTTGATTGATTCGAATTTAGATAATTGATAAAATTTAGCTTTAACATATATTAAGTGTGTGATGGTATTTTTTAAGCGTGGAGGAAGGAAAATAGAAAATAAGCAAATGTGTTGTAGGCACAAGAGAATACGTATGACAGGGCGTATGAGTGATTTCATAAATTTATAATTCAACAGTTCACTTTCAAATTTAAAAGAAATAAAAAATGTATTAAGCTTTTATGAAAAAAATATAAGTCTCACTACAGAATGAAAAGTTTATAAAAAAAAGAAAAGTTTATGAAAAAACTACAAAGAAAGAATCAAATGAAAAACATAGTAATATAAGGGGGGAATATAAGAAAAAGATAAAAATAATTGTAACTGCGTAAAAGATAAATAAAATTGAATATTTCTAGACATTAAAACTTTAGTAGTGGTGCCACTATTGGTTTATTTTGAATTTAATAAATCTCTTGATAAAGTAAAATATTACAGCCTAAGCATAAAAGGAAGTAAATACATTAATATACATCCTATGAAAGAAACTCTCTTTTATAAAAACCAAAAACATTAATAAAGTAATATTTTGTTAAATTATTATTTTTTTAATTATTTAATTGAATTATTATTTTTTAAATGTGAAAAGAGTACCATTTTTTTAGTACTGACATTGGGGTTAAGAGGGTAAAATTTGGCAAATATCAAATGAAATTTTTACATATTGAAAAATTTTAATTTATATATATGTAGCTTATGTTATTAGTGACATACTTGCAAATCAAAAACCGCCTAAAATTGCATCTTAGAACGTTACGTGTTAGCTCAGCATTCAAGTATCAAACTTCCCACCAGTTGAGAGAGACAACTGAGATATAGTAACCGTGCAGACTTATAACATATATATTTACATATATATATATTAAAATATTTTCCGCAAGCTGTAATATATTCTTATACATATACATTAAAATTGTGTAAAAAAATGTAAACGCCCTTCTGCCTCCCAACAATAGCTTCAGGCAATGCAGTGGATTTATTTTAATTGCTTGACGCTTCTGCAAAAGGATAACTTCAATGTGTTGCGTTGTGCGCAAAAACATTTTAAGAATAATTGCACGCTGCAAAACAACAAAGGACAGTAGTGGTGGTAGCAACACCAAACAAATAATCAAAATGAAATTTACAAAAGCATACATTTCATGCCTTTACATATTTGCTTTTTTACATTTTTTGCACATCACTTTCAGTTTACGAAATTTGCACATATCACACGTATATATGTATGTAAATATATAGATGCGTACAACTGAATATTTGTTTGCTTGTTTGCTTGGGCGTAGCGGGAGAAAATGTAATTACATTTTTAACTGCTTTGCTGAAGGATAATGAATGCCTTCTGCGAAAGGACACGCATACCAATAAGTTTACAGCAACAAAATGCCCCACATTCTGCACTAGTCTGCAACTGCGCATTATTAAAGGGGTGATATATGTATGTGTATTTAAATTTGTATGCTTCAGTAAGTGTGTGCGCGGGAGTCGCGCGCGTTCATCCATTTTCAAACTCTTGTTGCGATGCTATTTAAGTTTTTTTTTATTGCAATGTTTCATCTGCTCCATTTGAAGAAAGTCTTATACATGTCTTTATATAAACAATGCATTAAAATATTCGCTTGAATAAAATACATAATGCCGGAATGCTAGTTTCGGTCAAATATTTCGAAATATGAGACCGAAAAGTTATTATCGAATTTTCAGTCGACCGGCCTTCAATCACTTTTAAAAACAATATGTTTCAAACCTGAGCACTTTTCTAATTAAGCGTTAACCAGGTTAGAGAAAATTTTAAGAAAAATCTTGAAATTCGTAGGCTTAATGAAAAGAATAGGAGTAACTAGGAGTGCCGACGTTAAATTTATTGAAAATTATTTACAAATCGATTTTTTTTTAATTCATCGCTCAAACTTTCAGCATAATCATTTTTTTCGCGTATAGATGCTGAGAAAAAAAAAATTTATAAAATATGTATAAAATAGCTAACTCACGTGCGCACACTTTCTATTGAATTTAAGTATTTCAATTAATCTTTTATTTTTGTGGATATTGAATGGGCCATAGCTTCAATCTTTGACCTTCCATTCGGCTGTTGTGGCGAAAACAGTATCCCGAAAAAAGCTTTATGCAAATCAATAAATGCGATTACTCGTGCAAAAGCCAATTAAAAATATTATGTGTATAAATAAGAAACCAGCAAAAAACTTACACACACATATGCAGCACTTTTAACAAATGCAAAGTATCGTAAGAAATATACTTATGCAATATTGTAATAACCTTACTATTATTTCATTATTATTTTACGCAAATTTATTAAAGCTTCATAAATTGTCTATGTAAATGTGGTATTTCTATTGCAAAGCTGCAATTACAAACATCGCCATGAATTGTTTTAAATTTGAAATATTTTATTTTGTTGTATTTGATAACGATTATTTTAATGGCATTACATTATAGTTATATATATTTATGTAGATGATTTGCAATGTTTTTATAGCATTTTTTGCTTTCGTTTAGTTTAAATCTATTTGAATTTATTTTTAGTTTATTTTTATTTTACTATTATTTTTGCCAATATTACAAAATAGAAGAAGTTTTTTTTTGTTTAATTTGTTTTTATGTTTATTATATTTTATTGTTTCTTAATTGTACTATCAATGCACGTAATGTTAATATACAAAAATCATTCTTGTGTGTACTGGTTTTTAGTTTTACTTCAAAAAAAAAAAAAATAAAAAAAAAATATTTTCCTATTTTTCACCATTTAGTCATGCAATAGACACATATGAATATAATATTTATGGTTTTTTCCATAAAGTTATATATGAATGAATGTTTTTTGTCTGCTATTTATTTTTGAAAAGAATGTACATCCACGAATGCGGAATGTTAGTTTGCATAAAAATGTGTTTTACATTCACAAACTTTTTGTAGACTTGATATTTACATACAAATAAAACATTTAAATTATTTTGTGTTATTGTTGTAATCAATATTTAATTGTATTTCTGTACTTGATGGTTGGTGGTAATAATTTTGAATTAGTTTTTATGAAAAACATTTATAACTAGAAAAAATAAATAGAAAAAATTAACGAAAAAAACGTAAATTTAATATAAATAAATTTAAATGGAATTCATTGCGTGAAAGTAGTTAATATTTTCCCAAAAAAATAAGAAGATATATATTTATACACATGTATATATTGTATATAGGTCAAGTAAAATGTTATCCATTATTTTTTCAATATCTGCCTTTAGTGACCCGTTTCTCGCGTTTTACAGGTGCGATTGGACTACGCTAGATGTCGTTAGAGAGAAACAGGACTGATCGTTGAAGAAATGTTGATCACTTAGCTCATTAGTCTTGGGTCGAAAATGGACACCAGTAAAAGGAAAATATATATTAAATATTCTACATTTTTTCTTCTGTAAATGGCGAAAACGCAAGTCAAAAAGATGAAAATGTAATTAATGTTTATGGTCTCGAATTCGTTGCGATAATTTGGATGTAGTTTTCAAGACCAATTGTACAAATATTGATAAAATAATAACAATCATCAAGCCTGGTCATCATGCGTGCACTGTTTCGATGGCTCAAGAGCTAAAAAGCAACTTGAAAAAGTCCGGATACACAAAGCAACCAAATGAGTTGATGAGAAAATCCCCAGGGACTGAATTCCCTACTGCGCATCGCTGGCAAAGTGTAACAATATCGATACTTTTCTCAAGCGTATGGTGGCCGGTGCTGAAAATTGTATCGCTTAAAACAAGATCAAATGAAAACATTCACGATCGAAGGACAATGAGCAGACACAAATGATCTCTAAGGCCGGATTGGGGTTGGCAAGGAATAATCTACTATGAGCTGTTTCCTACGGCCAAACATTCAATACACAACGGTATTGTCTAACATAGGATCGTCTGAAGGAAGAAAGATCACAGCTGTGGACAAGAGGAAGGAGAGGTTTTTCATCAGGACAATGCCAGACCACACACATCAATACTGATTCGTCAGATGCTTCGGTAGTTTGGTTAAGAGGTTCTTACGTATTACCATCTCTACCTGTCTATGGCAAATGATTTGGCAAATGAAGACTTGGCCTCAAAGGAAGTCTGTGAAAATTTGTATTCCAATTTTTTTTTACCAAATGAAGAGAATGAAGATATGAAATATTAAGATATTAATCAAAAGCTCCTCATACAAGGCCATCAGCCATACGGAGGCGGCTTAGTATGAACTGCAGGTCTTTCCATACCATAAATTTAAGGAGAAGCTCGGCCGAAAATCGCTTCAGCGGTTGCAAAGTGCCAATTATATGTATATAAATAGCAAAATATTGAATAATTGAATAAATGAATTAACGCGAAAGTAATCGATTACTTTTTCCTAGGCCTAAGAGGTTTTTTAGAACGATTTTATGTGTACTTTTGTTATTATTATTATTAATATTTTTGGCGGTAAAAAAAGATAATTTCTTTGTTTTTCTTGCAGCGCGTGATTTACAATAACTTATTCGTTAATTGTGATTAGTGAGGCATGTGAGTACTAGTCACAGTAAATTGGCCTTTTTTTTAATTACAGGTAATTTGTTGTTTATTGTTTACAAACAGTGTTTTTTATTTGTGATGTTTTTTTGCACAACAAATATATAAAATACAATGTATAACCTACCTTTGAAAATTGTTGTTGATTTAGATACTGCAATGATTGTGAGAATTATGAGCTGTAAGAAGAGTGGGAAAAATTTACTCAAATTAATCTTCAGTTATTATTATAGCGATTGATTGAATTAATGTTAAAATATTTTTAAAGTAAAGAGGATATTCGAAAATTTGTGATTAACAGAATTTATATTTAAAACTAGTTATTTTATTATTTTTTACTTATTATTAAATTTCCTTGCGTTCGAATTCTTCAAACGAAATTCTAAAATGCTTCGTCTTTTTTGTGTCTAAAAATCTGCAGCAGAAAAGAAAAAAAAATCAAAGAGATGCTTCCAAATTTGTTTATGTTTCTTAATACCGTTAGCAAATATTTAAATCTAATAGTGGCACATCTCTCGCACCCAAAGCCACAAGCAGTCAAAAGTAATGAGGTTAAGGCGAAAAGAGTAACGAAAAACTAGTTTTTGTCCTTGCCACAGAGCTGCATTTCGGACCGATATAGCAGTGCAGGAGCATGGCGAGGGTGCTGATGGGTGAAGCTAAAAAATAAGCTCTGTTGTTAAAAGTATTATAATAGGCGAAAGTCACTGCAAACAAGCATAGATGAAATGTTGTACTATAAATGGAGAAAAGAAATAAAAGTGGTAAGAAAACAATGGGAATTTGATAAAAAAAATAATAAAAAAAATGTTCTGCATAAGAAACGATGACAAGCGAAAGACATACGCAAAAAGTGAGATAAGCTCAGCTAAACTATGAACTGTGAACGGACAAGAGGAATTGGAAGATAAACGAAGAAATCTGTAATTACATTAAAAAAATTGACCGCGTTGAAAATTTTGCAAGGAAAGAAAATTAAAAAACTTCAAAAAGCAAAGAAATGCTTGTCACAAAGGAGGTTGCTATTGGTTAACTACTTTAGCGACAACAATGGCAAGGCAACTTTTCAAGTTTTCAGTGATCCAAAAATATTTTTTTCCTATATACACAAAAAAAAAAGATACGAAAAAGTTGCAGTTTTTGAAATAGAATCTTGTGACATTTAAATATTTGATGAAAGCATAAGTCATAGTTTTCGTTATAGTTTTTGCTGCATTACCTCCACAACTCTCCGATACTTAAACCTTACAAATTGGGGCGGAAGTCAATGGAAGAAGAATGAGCTTGAAATTGGCAACAAAAACTTAGCAAGAAACGCAGATAAGGAAAAGTACAAGAAAACAGTTGTGGATAATAATAAAGAAGAGGAAAAATTATGTAAATTGCATAGCCGAAAAAAAAGTTGAAAGGAAGAAGAGATACATTGGTTCTATTTATGTATAAAATTGCATCTTAAAATTTTCATTAAAAATGACGGCTATAATTTTTTCAGTGATGATGGTGCCTCAACTTTCTGGTTAATAATAATACACCATTTTGTTCATATCCCCTCGCAGTAGTCTATTCTGTGCAATCTGTCGACTCCATTTTTCACACGTTCTTAATTGTGTGGCCCTCTATAGCTACAATAGTTATCTCTTTTGCTTGTTTCAAGTAATTAATCGCTTCTATATAGTTGGCGTAGCAAAGATCATTAATGAATCCCCACAAAAAATAGTCCAGCAATGAAAAATCGCTCTTGAGAGGAGGCCAGCTGATATCGTCGTTAAGGCTTATTATGCGATTTTTGACCACTGTGCAGAGGCAGTCGATCCCTATTATACTCTTCAACATTAATTTCTGAGCTTAGCACGGCACTGTCAGATTTCAGAGTTTGGGGTGCGCGGCAAAGCGTTTCAACCAGGGCAAGAGCCCAACAATGTTTGAGGTAATGGTAAAAACCTGAATTTTGAAATCAATTCTATTTGAGCAGCTGTTTTTCATCTTTAACTACAGTTATCTGCTAAAGTGACCACTACTCAAAATTCTTAGTCACGTCTTCTCTTGCTGTATGTAGATCTGCAAATTACAGATATTTCTTTTCTAGCCATTGTGTTTCATCCTCCAAAACTTTCGCTTGAAGTATCGGGTGTCCAACTTTGCTTCCGCCATTTTTTCCAAAATTAAAAGCTTTATTGTGAAAAATATTATTCAAAGTATTGTCATTCGCTAGCGGCAACTTTCTCCCATCTTTGCGGCAATTTTCGGATCCCGGCTCGAAAAAAGGAGTCCCTTTTTTGACGCTATCCATGAAGCAATCCATTTTTCCAATTCTTCGAAGGTTTGACAATGTTGATCTGCCAGGCCGTGTGCCATCGAACGGAATAGATGGAAATCAGAAGGGGCGACATCTGGGGAATACGGCGGGTGGGGCAAGACTTCCCACTTCAGTGTTTCCAGGTACTTTTTGACCACTTTTGCGACGTGAGGCCGAGCATTGTCGTGTTGGCGCATCAGTTGCGTTTGGTAGCGATCTCCTGTGATGGTTTCACCCGGTTTTAAGAGCTCGTAGTATATCTTTGAAGGTTTTTTCTCTTCCACATAAACGGACATTTTCGAGCGTGAATAATACGAAAACAAGAACAACTGTCACTGAAAACGGCGATGACAATTCGTTAAGCACCGTCCATACTCACTTTAAAGGCATTATCATCTATGTATTTCAACCAGTCTCAGCCGGTAACGGCGGACGCAAAGTTGTACACCTGATAGTTTCTCATTTTCATGTTCTTTGCTCTCTACATTATTCTTCGTCTAATAAATGTGCAATGAATTACAATTAAACCACAATGAAATCATTGGCTGTGTCATAGCGTAAAAGCAAACACAATTTCATAAATTAAACAGAAAAACTAAACTGACGTAATTTAAAGCGGCAATACTAAAAATATTATCTTAGAATTGTATCCATTGCATTAATTAGGAAGAATTTGTCAGTAAATGTTAAGAAATATAATACAACAACAAATAAATAGAAGTATTCAACACGAGCGCATTTACTATTGGTTTTAATGACAAAAAAGTACTGCAAAATAACAACACACACATATCTAAATGTATGCAAGCACGTTCAGTTTTTGTTGGAAAATATTTCGAACAAATTATTTTAATTAACTGCACAAATGCAGCACTTTGCGCGCATAGGTACAAAAAAAATTAAAAAATTGGAAAAGACATACAAAAGGAGCGAAGAGCGACGAGCAAATGCAGTCAAACCATTGTGAGAACCTTTAAGTATTTTCAATTAACCTCAAAGTTACTGTGTCGAAAAAGACCAATACACAAATGAGTCTACGCGCCGCAAATGAGTTGAATAAACTAGTTCATTTGAATGCAGCGGAATGTGGCAGAAATTTTTAACTCAAGCTCCCCAAAATAAAATTTTGTTATAAAAAAAAAAAAAAAAAAAAAAACATAAATATTAGAAAATATAAAGTAAAATAACTAAACTAAAATGAAATAAGATAAATCTAAAAATTTTATATAAAATTAAATGAAATAAGAGGACATAAAATAAAATCAAAGTTTGTTTTACTAAATTAGATAAATAATAAAATACAAAAAAAATTAAACAATAAAATGTTATGAAAATTAAATAAAAAAAAATAACAAAATTAAATAAAAAAATGAAATAAAATACAATTAAATAATATTAAATAAATGAAAATTAGAATAAAATCAAATACAGAATAGATTAAAATAAAAAAAAATTAAATTAAAAAATTAATAAAAAAATTAAATTTTAAAATAAAATAATATGTGTAAGTGGGTGGGAAAGAAGTTTTACAGACACCAATCACATACCGCTAAAAGTAGCCGGAGATGTTAAAACGCACACAGATTAGATAGTCAGATATCTGATCCGGACCTTAAGAAGTGAAATTCCATTGCAAGAAAGAGGCACTTTAGCTGTATTATTTCGCGGATAGTTATAAATTTGTATTCATTCATACATATAGTCCAGAAAACAAAAGCTCAAATAAGAGGGGGCAATTAGCCAGCGCGCAAATTCATGCAAGAATTTAAGCACCTCACGTAATCATATTATAAATTACAAAAAACTTAAATAAAATTAAATAAAAAATAAAAATATTTAATAAAATAATTTATTTAAAATAAAATAAAATAAATTTGAATAAAATTTAAGAAACTAACATAACAAATTAAGTTAAATAAAACAAAAATAAAAAAAAAAGAAATAATAAATGAATTTTTTTGTAAAATCGAAATTTTTTTATATTTTCATGAAGCTCCTTAAGTTTATTTCCAATTTTTTAGCCGCTGATATGAACTTTGTTTTTGATTAAAGAATTTCCCTCCAATTAGTTAAGCGTTACAGTTCAATATTTGGTATCATTTCCTAAAGCAGTTAATAAAATCAGTGACAATGATGCAAATTGGAAATTGATACGAATGACCAGAAACTATTGCATACCAACCGACATTCATATTAACATTTATCTATGATTGTATGCAACAACTAGGTATATACTATATCGTCTACCAAATATGTGAACTGTTGGTAGATGGTGTGGCATGAAAGCCTTTGTGTCGGTAAGTGAAAGAAAATTTTTCTGACCACAAAATGGATTGTGCATGTGCAGTAGTTAACAACCAAAGTGCAATGCTTGCAAAGGATTGTGGTGATTGGTGTTGGTAGTGGTTATTGGTAAAGTTGTACATACAAATATGCAATCACACTTACTGCACGAGTTTGTATGCATGCTGCTTAAGCCAGATAAGCATCTAATTGAGAGGTAAATATGTCCACAGGTAGTATTTTAAGTTATAAACTTAATTGCTTTTGCGGTTAGTGACCATAAAGGAGAACATATTATGTCTTCTAATTTATCGGTATAATTGTAATGAAGACATATTAAGAAAAGCAGTATGTTTTAGAACTATTTCTAATTAAAAAAATAAAAATAAAATTAAACAAGAAACAGTAAATAAAAAATGAAAGTAATTTTTGGTTAATATTTCTAATTTGGATTTTGCATATTTCCGAAATTAATTTGCTTAAATATTAAACTAATATTTTTATGCGCTCAAAAAATCAAATTACTATTTCTATTCTATTATACATATTTTTTTTTTTTGGAAAAACCCGTTATTATACAGACTATTTGAGTTGGTCTGT